TTTTGCTCGTGATCATAAAGGGAGATTTTTCCCCATCCCAGTCCTATCTCGAACCCCAAGCCTGGCTCTCTGTCCCTTCTCATTGCCGGAGGGGAAGGGAGAGAGAGCTGCTGCATTGTGGTTGGCTGCCAATCAGGCCTAAACCAGGACAGGTCCTCCTCAAGCCAGGAAGTGGGAGGCATGTCTTAATCTCCATCTCTTGCTGGAGCTTTTATTGGAAACAGAGAGGCACTGGCCTCCAAGAGAAATCCCGTTCCAGAGATGTGACCAGCACAGGCATTCATTGCAAGTACCGAGTGTTGGTGCCTGCTCTCGGGAGCACCGCTGGTCGCATCTGCTGCTCTGCGCAACATGGATACAGTCTGGGAGGCGAGGGATCCTCTCCAGATACAGGTCTGATCACCAGATTGCAGCCGCTCATCTTCTCCTGGTACCTGGCCCACCCACCCTGCCGTCTTAACTACTGGCACGTTAGCATCCTCCTGAAACTTTTCTAGTGCCCAATGTTATTGGCCATAAGAATCCTTCAATGAGTTCTCCTAAACTCTTGAATGCAAGTTATACAGCTCTGCTGACTGAAGATGTCTGTCTAATTAATTCTTATGAATGGAAGAGGTTTCACATAATATCATCTATACTCCCTAAAGAGAAAACTAAGGCAATGTATTCATAAGGAATACACATCCTGCAACATAGGCTCAAGGTAAGGACAACAGGTAAGCAGCTAAATACAGCCTTTCCCAATAGATTCACATGCATTTCCATTTAAACTTCCCCAGAGCTGGAAAATCAGAAAACCAATATGAATGCTAAGAGAAATTTATCCTCTAACAGATGTCAGCATTCTCAGTGAAGTTTACTGTTTTCTTAGAAGATAAATTAAAAAGTTGGGCAAAACAGCAATGGCAGAGACAGCATCCTGAACAGGAGTGGTAGCTTTCATGCACTTTCACTCTAAATAGGTAGCTGTCAGTTTTATTTTTATTTTTTTAACAGAATATTATCAAGCTCTGACTCAAATACATCTTACTGTTGCCATTTCACAAAAAGGCTGCAAACCATAAACTATTCCTGTCAGGAAACAACTGCCCCTACATCTCCCTTTTTAGTTCACTGGCACCTTCAGTTGGGGTGAGAGGAGGGGCAGGAACTGCTCCCTCAGTCTGAAAATAAGAAAAACAAAGGCCAAGGAAATACCATTTCTTGATCAACTCATAGGTTAATTCAGACTGTTCATCCATATTACAGCAACATTCTCTATACCTAACAGTGAGCTACTAATGAGGCAGAAAAATAAGCCTTTTTGCTAACGGCACCTGAACAAATAGGAGAAGCCTTGCCCTCTAGTAATGGTTTTGTGATAGTTTTGCTTTAACATTAGGCTGCTTTCTTTTTATATCACTCAAAACCCACACATCTACAAAATAAGCAATCATCCAATGAGTTTCCTGTGGAAATTCACACTATGGTTTTCACCAAGAGGGAGAAAATTAAGTACAATGACCAAACCTATGGTTTGGCCGGTCTCTTAATGAGTCACATTTAATCTAGGTCAAGTGGCTTAGTTCTATTACAGGCCTGCAAAGCTGAAAAAAGAAATCATCAGATAAAAAAAAAAAATTATGAATAAAAGACATTCAAAATCTGTAGGAACACGGCACTGAGCTCCTAAGCAGTCAAATTTATGTATATATTTAAAAAGCTGGCATAGGACTATTATATTATCACTAGTATTTAGTGTTCGTCCTTTAATGTTTTCCTTTTAAAAAGTACCTCCTTTTTGGCATTCATTAAAGGCTTACTCAGCAGCAGTCGGACACCCCTTACATAGTTACTTCATTACAGGTAATGAAAACAAATGGCTTTATGACCACTAAATGGTAGAGCCTCAAAAATTAATCGTCTAGATTGGGTTTCACACTTCCACTGTTTTCTTGGGTTTGGTAGATAATTTAAGAGCTGACCCAAAGCAAAGTGAATGAAATATAGACCATACTCTCTAAGTACTGATGCCAAACCATATTATTCTAATACTGTGATTTAGTTCTGTGCATTTCACTTTGCCAAGCCAGCTGAACCATCAAACAAGTCCTGATAATGTAAATTTAGGCTGTGATTTCTGTAACTTTCCTCAACTCAATGTTTTGGGATCTATGAAGACCAGTGTGTAACTGGAATTAGTCCACAACTTCACTTCTCATTTGAAATGTGCAACACTATAAAATACCAAGTTTCAAACCCAAAATGAAGACGTTACAGAAATAGATAAAGCTGGTAAACTTAGATTTTTGTTTTATTGTATCAAATAACCATGAGTACCAGGAAAGAAGGCTGACAAAATGATTTAAGGAAATTTCCTGTGAAAACTGATCCAAGAAAAAGCAATTCTTTGTAGCTCAGGTTTTCTCAGTCCTTCTGAAACGATGACTCTGCATTCAAACGCATTAACTATTAGCTGACTGCTATCCCTATAACAACCTCCCACCTACCTTCACTTCCTTCAATTTTCTTTTCAAATCCATCCTGCCTTCTAGGTTAGTAAGCCACTGAAACAATATTTGTAGAAACATAGAGGAATGCCTACCACTTTCTATCTTCAAGACAAAACTTTCTAAAACAGTATGCTGTAACTCAGAGACTTTATGGTCTCTAGTGTATCAGATCATTCTTTTTAATTTAGCTCCACTACCTAAAGATTGTACTCCTCTTAGCCCTACTTTAAATATCTTTCTTCTCTTAGGTCCTCCAAATACCATTGCCCCACAAGACTATGGAAATCAGATATTCAACAAACTTTTTCAACCCAGTTCCTCTCAAACCCCAACACTGCTTTATCCTTGCCCCAAGTGCATCCTTTCCCTGTCGGCAGTATCCCCTATCCCTCGCTCTGGTCTGTGTCTCAGTATATCATTCAGTCCCTGTGGCCTTCCAAGACCTACGTTACCAAACTGTTGTTTTCAGGGACTGCTTCCTTACATCCATACAAAATGTTGCCCTATCATAAAAAAGTTCCTGTTTCTGCAGAAAAAAATAAAGGGAAGATTAAAGCTGACTTTGAAAACAGCATTGTTGGCTGGGCTCCCTACTACTCGGGCATTTTCCCATCATCTCAAGCTTTATGGGAAAGTGAAACTCTTAGCTTACTCAATATTCTTTCAGCCCAGTACTTTAACTGGAAAGCATCAGAAAATTCTGATGTGTTTTGGTGAAGAAACTTGTGTAAGAAACTGGATGTACTGCACTGATTCAGTTCAAGTTGGGGCTAGTAGATGCTGGTCTTCCACCCTGCTACCTACGTGAAGGAGAGAAAAGGCTTTTAAAACCTGCTAAAGATCAGAAAGTAATAAAGGAAGCATTGACTCAGTCTGCCCCGTTGCTGGCACATGAGCCCCTGAGGCTGCAGCCCCTCTGCAGTTGCTGGCGCAGACCATCTCAGCCCCCGCCCTCTGCCCCAAATATGCAGAGCTGGCTGGGACTCCCCTGGTCCCCAACAGCCAGCACCAACCATGGCTGCATCCTTAGAGACACAGAGCCACTCACAAACCCAGTGTTGCCTGGGGCACCCTTATCTCTCAGTAGCCACCACCTTTTGGTCTTCCCCTTAGACACACACGTGCACCCCTCACCCCTTGAGACACACACCCCACACACACCCCCCCCCCCCCCAGAGCCTATGGTCTCTCCAGCAGCCGGCCAGGAATCCCCAGGTCCCCAGTAGGCATCTGTCCCATGGTCTCACCCTTAGAGTCATCCCTGGCTCCCAGTCACCTGCCAGCTGGACAGTCCAGCCCGACCTTCACTAGTGCTCGCACGCTCACTCATACACTGGCACTCGCTCCAGTTGCTGCACTGTGGGCACATGGGCCCTCCAACACATGATCCAACTCCTGGTGCTGCATTCAGACCCCCATACACACATGCGTGCACAGAACAGAGAACTTTCATCCCAGGAAAGACACAGAAATAAACTGAATATGACAATACATTTGTTCCTCCCCAATTCACCTCAATCCATCCATTTCCCTGCTTTCAGTTCTTCCCCTGAATGTCTCATAATAAGCCCTGTGCACACCTGAAATGCTCTTCCCCCATAATGTGCCCCATACCCCTAAGTGACAACCTAGGATCACACCATCCTCTCTCCTTGCAGAGTACTTCCTAGCCATCCGTTTCACCTCCTGGGAGGGTTCTTGGCCAGACCTGCTGGGATTGCCCTTCTGTAGCCTTGCTTCAGGAAATCCATGGTGCTGCTGAACTGTGCTTTGTTCCTGTAGGCTGTTGTAGGCCACTTTGTTGCCCCAGGCCATGAGCAGAGCAGGTGCTATCACCATTCTGGATCTTTTTCCAATCCTTTCCGAAACATATTTCCCTGGAGAGGTCCCTGGGTCCCCACAGGGGACTGTGAGCACACCCAGGAGATGTCTGGGCAGGGCATCCTGGACCTGCTGACCCCACAATCCCCAAACCTTTATTAAAAAAAGGTTGACGCATAGAGGTGGAAGTATGGGTTGGGCAAAAAGCGTAAAATTAATATAGGTAGGTGAGGCTAAAATTTCTACATCTTGTCCCTCTCAAAGGCTCATACCATTCCTGTACAAAATGGAACCCTGATACCTGACTTTGTACAGCTCTGTGAGGACAACCTTTTGCAGTGACTAATATTCCTCTGTAACTGGATTTTAACTGGATTTCTCCCATTACAAGTGGTTTGCAAAGAACCAAACCCAAATCTTATGGTGTAGCAAGATAACCCACCATGTGCTGAAACCTAGGGCCTTGGATGGCACGCACAAGAGACTCTGCAGTTTGAGAACCGCGGAGGCCGAACTTGAAGTTACCCACAGCTTTGCCCTCGCAACAGAGACTCGAGGAGCGGCTCGGGAAGCCCTCCATCCTCCTGGGGACGGAGGAGCCGGCATGAAACCGATTCCACTGCCCTCAGCCAGGCCTAGGCTAGCACAGAGCACGGCAATGCCACGAAACCAGGACGAGCACAGAAAAAGAAAGATAGCCAGGGCACTTTCCGTAAGGGCGAGGGACGGCTGCCCGGGTCGCGGGCGGGCGGCTGAGAGGGCGGCACCGCCCCCGCTCCCGTTTGCCAGGCGCGCCCAGTGCGCAGCCGCACTGGTTCAAAACAGTTTGTTGCTCACGTCGAAGAAGCCGCTTCCGTTTCCAACGCCGCATTCCGGCCACACCTGCCTGCGCCGGAGCCCCAGCTCGCTCCGCCGCCTGACCCGCCTGAGGAGAACCCCGCGCTCCGCCGCCTCAGCAAGCCATGTCCGCCGAGGGTAAGCCTCCCGGCTGCCCCCCCCCCCCCCCCCCCCGCCTCGCCGCTCCCCCCAGCTTGGGGAGAGGGACGGCGGAGAACGCTCCCTCATCGTTCGCAACGGCCACAACGCTCTCTGCCGAGCCGGCCAAGCCACGCCCACGGCGCCCGGCGCTATTCGCCGGTTCCGGCGCGGCGAGCGCCGCCATTGGCTGTCGCTGCTGCCCGTCGCCGCTGCGTCAGCGGCGGGGAGGGGGGGCGCCGGGGCCGGCAGCGTTAATGGTTTCCGCGCCCGTCGCGGAGCTGGCAGGCGGGCGGGGTTGAGGGCGTGGGTGTTCCCACGGGTGGGTACTGCTCCGGGCGCTTGGGGTCGGGCGTACGTGTGTGTGTCGTCGTGTCCCCCCCCCCGAGTTGTCCCAGGGAGGGGGTTGGCGGCACGTTTGGCCGAGGTGCGCTAGCAACGTCCCTTCTTCCTCAGCTGAGAGCGCGCCCCCCCCCCCCCCCCCCCCCCCCCCCACCCGTGACGGAGGGGCGGCCGTGCGCGGCTGACTTCTGGAAGCAGGGCTCGCCCGGTGAAGTTCCTGCTCGGCAGAAGTAGCGGCCCTGGCACAGCTCGGCTCCCTCACGGTGTAGGGCCGGGGGTGACAGCGGCAGTCGCGCAGTTTGCAGTGGGGGAAGCTTTTGCTTTCCTCAGTCTTCAAATGGTGGGTGAGCGGAGCGGCACGGCACAACGTTGGGAAGGCTTTGCCGTGGAACAGCGGTGTTTCAGCCCTGGCAGATCCCCGAGTGCTGCAGTTACTCGGGTAGAAAACCTGAGTGCCAGCAGAGATGGGCAATGCTCTGAAAATGAGGTGCCTGACCTAATGATCTTACCATTTGAAGACATAACGCATGTATAGTGCCATTTCCGTATCTTAGAGATGTATGGGCTTCATTTACTTAGAATCAAAACGAGTATATTTCTGTCAGTTATGTGCTTCACCTTGCCCCTCCAAGGGGTGATGTTTATACAGTCTCACATCAGTTGAAGCTCATTTAGCTTGTCATTGCTGTCACAGACCTCTAACCTCTCAAGAGGTTCCAGTTGTCTCTTACTCAGATGTCTGATTTCCTTGTGTGGTTTCACGGTTCAGGGAGCTTTTCTAGCTAAAAAAAAAATTTGTTTTTGATGTAGTTAGACTTTGGCCAGTTCACTGTGTAATTATGCAAGTGTCAAGATGAAGTAAAGGGGTAGGACTGAGGTGTAGAAGCGTGGGAGCATACCAACCCTGATACGCTCTTGATTAAGCAAACGTACAGGGTAATGCACTGGGTGTCTGTTCCTTCTCCTTGGTCCTCAATATTTTGGTCTTCTGAGTGGCTTTGTCTGTAACTCAGTAATCTTAACAAATATTAAGACTTCCTCAGCAATAGAAAAGATGTGCCGTTAATAATACTCCTCAGACAAAAAGTGCAGTATAAGATCAAATCTTATTAAACATCAGAGGCCTCTTTGTGAAACTTATTTTACCTTGAGTCTTGATATTATTGGCATTTCAGTAATCCAAATATGAGACCTAAAGCCACAGGAAATCCAGTTTCCTTATTCGGCTTTTCACCATAGTAATTGGTTTGTATTTGCTCAATATACAATCCCATTGTCTTAATGTGTTGTGAATTCCAGTCATGCCAATTCTGACTACAACATTCTAAATTAACTATTGTTTCAGTGTTCAGAGACTGTTGATATGCATTTTATCTCTGGTAAAGTATTTTGGTGTCTGATCTGTGACAACCTATCTAGATTAAGGACAAAATTATCAGAAGTATGCTAAATTCAGGGATGCAACTTGAGATGTATGGTACTCAATTTTCCTAAGTGCAGTATTTAAACGTCTTTATAAAATCTAGTTCATTTTACCCACAGCTTCCCCGGCTGTCCGTTGCACCCAGGAGTATTGAGATCATGTTTGTAAAAATACGGAGATGTGTCTAACTGAACTCTTAGAAAATGAAGAAAAACCACTGGATTTCTGTGAAACGTTTGATTTTAATGATTTTCCTGTCAGCCCCCAGGAACAGTGTAGTAGAGATTGGGATAGGTTTTGGTACTACTCAGTGCTTTCAGCTCTCTCATCCACCTCCCTTTACCATTCTGTGTCTCATGGTTTCCTACATTTCTGTTTCCGCAATAAGCAAGAGCATTCATCAGGTAATGTCTGACCCAGTACAAGTCCTTCATTATCCCACTGGCTTATATGTTGTATTTAGTTAGTAACATAATTGGGGAAAGAAAAGTAGTCTGTCAGATTGTCTTTGGATTTCAGCTGATGTGTCAGATCTGGCTGTATTTCTGTGATCGTAGCTTTGATTATCATAGTATGCAGAAATGTGCTTAAAAAACTCTAGGTTACATCTGTAATGAGAGTGAGTTAATATGCAAATGATTACTTGAATCTGGGATGGGATGATACTACTCCTGAAAGGCATCATGACGCTGATGTCTCTATGCTCTCCCCTGTGTTAGTTCCCTTTTTATATATGTTAGCATTAAGTGTCAGGCCATAAATAGACCAGGATCTAGTTGTGGTCCAAGTTAACGCTAGGTGTCTCTCCTTTTGTGACTTAGCTTAAACCCAGGTAAATTCCTTGATACATCTTTTATTTGCTTGGGTGGGGTTGCTTTACTTGATCTGCTTTATGTAATCCCCAGTTGCTACAGAGCTTTGGGGACTTTTATGTTTGTATTAACTCTGGCTTTGAAAGGGTTCATGTTTGGTTTGGAGTTTTTTGTTTTCATGGGGATTTTGTGTTTGCTTATTTTTACTATTACTTGATGTTTAATATCAACATCCTTCCGTCTCTAAATTATTCTGGTGATCCTTCTGTGTGTCCCATCCCAGCCTCTCCCCCCTGCCCCAAGTTTTCTTTATGTTACAGTTTGGTTCTATTCATCTTTCATTCTTATGTTTCACATTTTCCTTAAGTTTTCAGATTTTTTTTTTCACCAAAGCCTGTACTACTGTACTATTTGGGGATAGGTGACCAAACAGCAGTAAAAAGATAAGCAGTTTTTTAGTTGCTGGACTACATTGATCAAATGACAGAATTAATTGTTCCAATGATTGGATAAAACAGCCTATTTAGTAAGTCTTACTATAATGTGTAATTCACAGTAAAAGACTTGCTTGAAATATATAAGCCTAAAATATCTTCTTAGTCATGCTTTTAAAATTTATAATTTATTTTCAAAACTTACTGGAAACTTCTAAATATTTATGTCTTGTTTTGTGTCAGTGGAGCTAATTAATGCAATGAAATTACTAACTTATTAACTTGGTGCAAGAAATGCAGTTGCATCTGCATTCAAGTTGCAAGTAAAAAATACCTTGATGGCTTCATTTTTATTTATTTCAGGAGCACAAATTAATCCAAAAATTAGGCAGTTTGTGGGTTCTGCTTGAGGGAGATGGATATGTATTTCAGTTTGCTACATATATGGTATTACTCTGTATTGCTAACACTTTCAAATATCAGAAATATTTAGAATTGCTTACAGGACTAAGTTGTAGTTTCTTTGAGATGATGAGTAAATAGCTAGAATTCTTTTGTTACAAGTTTTTGAAGATATGAAGGTTGTGGTTGAATGAACGAAGTTGACCTCACATGTAAGAAATGTAAGAAAGACTACAGAGTGACATTGAGTTGTTTTCCCTTGTCTGAATAACATATGGACTGTAAGAGGAGAACTACTTCTCCCCCCCACCTCCCCCTTTTTTTTTTCTTTAACTAGGTAATATTTGTTGATGAGTCTTCTAAACAAAATATTGTTGATCACAGATATTCTCTCTGTAATGAATGAAATCAATCTACAGCAAAGACATTTAAATTTGGCCACTGACTTTAGAGGCAGGGCAACTAGAATACAATAGGAAAAGGAAGAAGTGCTTGGTATAAAGCCAGTGGGTCTACATTTCTTGGAGCAGCTTTCCTTATTGTTGCAGTCACCAGTCATGCTGATAAACCTTCATGGAAATGGGTTGTGTATTCTGATCTCAAAACTTCCTGACTGTCCATGTAAGAGTGCCGCTCTGAAGAGGGAATAATTTCTTTTTCCTGTATGAGAGCAGCCATGTTCAGCAGTGGGTGATGGAAGTTAAAAGGAGGATCCTGACCACCATCTTAGAGGTTAAAAGTTTTGAGAGACTAGTGCTTGTTGCTGCATTGCTTCTACTTCATTGTCAAAATGTATTGTAATTAATTATGGTTTGTTTTTTTTTTTGAAGTGAGGTGGTTTTTCTTTCTATATTTTCCTGTTTGGTTTATTTTTATCCCTCAGCTGTGAGTTGCTGTAGCTACAGACTTTGGAAACACTTTCTGCCAAGAGTCCATTGCATTGTTGAAATTCTGATTTTGAAACTTAATTGAGGGAAGGTGGTGGAGGGTATGGAAGACTGAGCTTTGCTTTCAGTATCAATCAGTTGTAGAAACTCTCCTGACTTCTGATCATATTGGCCTTCTAGCACAGATGGAGCTGCTTTGTCTTTGTCTGGAATGTGCTGGTTCCCTCTTCTATACCCGTTGCTCTGTCTCCTGTAGATTTGGGTGACAGTTGTTGGTCAGGTAGGCTTGATTTGCCTGCCTCATTTCCCATGGGCCAAAGTGAAGCATGAGATTTGTGGCAAAGGTTATGAATGTAGGGGTAAGTTCTGTAGATTGCAGTGTTGCACACTTAATGTACAACTTGTATCACTTCCTCTAGCTAGGGACAGAAGGATGATGGCAGGGCAGCAAGGGCCCAGCTCTAAGTAGGGCATTTGTCAGGCTGTACAGTAACCTGGCATGCTGGTAGGGGAAACTGGCAGAGAAGATTCCGATCCCATCCGCTTTGCTGCAGATGCACTTTTCCTGACTCTCAGTTAACTCTCTCCCAAAGTAGGTAGAATACTAAACGATTGTCAAGAAAAAAAATTTGTGCCTGTAAGGCAGTTAAATAATTCAAGACATGCAAATAACTCATGTTAGCCTGCAATGAACTTCAGTTGGTGAACATCACTGAAGTGTTTTGCTAAAAGCTGTGCCTAAATGAATTTCATGAGTAGTCCTGTTGTTTACTTCTATACAGCTAATTAACTGGCCAAGAACTGTTCTGTGAGCCTAAGTGGCATATCCCATCTCACATCCACTCAGCTAAACCCCTTTTTGCAGGGCAACTATGCTCCAACTAGCTTTTTGGCCCCATTTATCATTATAAACATAGCTATTGACTGCATGGCTATTGATGGGTATTTCTGAACACACCCTCAATTTGGGAAAGTCTTTCTTAATCTGATGACAAAAACCTGCTGTATTGTTTCTTTTGGATTAGATGGGAGTACTGGCCAGAGGGAAAAACAATGACCTGTGGAATTCAGCTTCTTTCGTACCTTTTGGTCTCTTAAGAAATTGGAACAGAGGGAAGAGAGCAGGATTTGGAGTGAATTGTTTGTATAAGAATAAAGAACCAGACCACTGTTAAACTTGTGCAGCCCAGATTCATTCCTGGAGCTCAGTCCATCCTGTGCACTGAACAGTGTAGAGATCCTGTGGAAAATATGGCATATGTTCATATAGTTAGTGTGTCATTATGCATGTGTGCTGGCTGAATTTAAGTTTTATTTCCTAACTTTAGTCTCTCACAGTATGATTCCTTCCATTAACTTGTTTCATCGAGAATAAATTCTACTCCCTCCCCTACCCTTCCCCAAACACCAGTTCTAGCTATAATAGCTATAATACAGTTATTCAGAAACAAGGACTTTTTTCTTTCCTGATGTAGTATGTTTAGTTGGAGAAAATTTGGTACTGCAGGTTTGCCATTCAGTTTTTTTGCATAGCATTTCATTGGGAGCCGATGTTTGGTTTGATCTGAATACCAAATACGCAGTTAGGATTTGTAGACTGTTTTGTTTCAAGTGTACTAAAGAGTTCTTATTTATGAAAGTAAAATTTCAAAAGCAAATTAATATGTCTTGTCATATGCTTGGATGTAAATAGTGAAGTTCTCAGAAGCACTTGTTACAGGCTTATAATTTTTCCTGTTGAAACTGGACGCTGTAGGAAGGGGTGGGTACTGAATAGTTTCAAGAATCCCATCAACTAAGCAATAGTAAGCAGCTTCCCTTCCAGTCTGTGTTAAAACCTCAATGCCTATGTTTAAAAGTGACTTCATATTTATTTAGATGCTAAAGTGAAACTGGTTTTAAATTACCCTGTGGTACAGTTCAGATAATGCTAGACATGATACAAGCACTGCAGTTGTCATCTGATATGCAGAATGGTGTCCAGTCTTAACCTGTTTCTCTTTCTGCATATGCTAATAGATTATGTATCTGTGAATGTTGAGGATGATGTTCAACCAGTGATTATTGACCATGGAGAAAATGGACTGTCCACACAAAGCTGCGTGCCAATGGAACAAAACTCTGATGTAAACAGTGTTGCTCACCATGTGGCTCAGCTTGCCTATGGTAATTACTGTTAATTTTTATTATGATCTAATAGTTATTGGCTAGTTTTAGTGCTGTATGCTCAGTGCTGCGGTCCTGAATGCTTTCTGTATTACCCATATCTTTAGAACATATTTTATTAGAAAGCTACTGTATAGAAATTGCTTGGCAATGCATTTAAAAAGAGGAACCTTTTAGTTATTGCTTTAGAGGTCTTTAATAGTGAACCCGATGAAATATTATGTTGTAAAAGGACAGAGTTTTTACTTACTTATAAGGTATACCTAGGAATGAATTAGCAAGCAATTTGGAAAATAAATGTCATGGAAAAAACTAACCCAAAAAATCAGGTTTTTAGATAAACCGTCCAGCAGAATTTAGTGGAACAGTGGGGATACTGATGTGCAATGATAGTAAGATATCTGTTTAAGGTGATAAATTACTAGCTGTAAGTAGCCTTTGGTGATTGTCTTTAATTCATTGTATTTATTTTAACATGCAAGATCAAAGTCTCTCAGAAATCTTACCCAATTCTCCTTTGGCCCAGATAAAATTAATCATAGCTGTTATGCCATTGTGGCATTACCAAGTCAGCAAGGAAAATGACTGCAACTAAATGATGGTACTTACTAGTTTGCTATTTTGTTTTGGGTTTGTTGTGTTTTTTGTTTTTTTTTTTTGTTTTTTTTTTTTTTGATTTGGCCAGTTGACTTCATAGAGAATCTCATCAGTGTTTCTCTTCAGCAGAGTCAAGTTACATCTCTGATTCCTAGTGGTGTTAGATGCTTCTGAGAACATTTAATCATTTTGGTCGTCTACTTGACAGTAGGGTATACTGTAATTTTTTTGTACATTTATGTCTAAAAACATATTTGGGCAAGAAGGATGGTTTCAATAATTTACTTGGAGTTTTGTCTCTTTTTTTAAAAAAAAAAAAGCAAAAATAAAAAAAAATCCTGCCCAAGAAACTGTCATACACAGTCATTGACCATGATTTCAGGATATGAGTAATTATTTCATTATCAACAAAGGAATCATGATGAGTGGGTATGATTGTTTTTAAAAAGTAAAAATGGTTTTGTCATCTTTGGGCTTACAGCTTCTGTTGTTGTAGATTGTTAGCATTAGGTATCGTCTAGTTAAAATTAAGTATAGTGAAATGTATGACCAAACCATCGCATAAGTTTATCTTAAATAGAGCTATTGTACTTAACTCTTTGAATTGAAATTCCCTCTGATTTGTTTTTATTCAACTGCCATCGTAAGCTGGTATCTTGTAGAGCAGTGCCTTTTTTTCTGATCCAGTTCTGTTTGTCCAAACTAGTTTCTTTTACTTTTGCCTCGTATCTTCTCGCCTACGCATACTTAGCTGGCAGAGCAAGCTCAACATCACTAAGATATGGATCTAGGTCTTTATTTCTTCCTGCCTGCTGCAGAACACTTGTATTATGCTTTTTACTTACCTGTTTATGCCCACAAAGTTGGTATCACTTTTGCTGGCAACTTTTATAGGTCATTGTGTTTGTACATAAATCTAAATTTTGGAAGCTAATCAGAAAGATGGTTAGTTTAACATAAATATAATATGTTTAAAATATAATTAAACCAGGGACCTAGTATTTCTCCAGGTGAAGTGGCATTCTGGCTTGGCTGCAGAGAGTATCTGAGGTTTGAGGGACTATATTGTGCCAGTGTGTTAATCCTGCTGCCCTTCACCCCTTTTACTTTCACCTTGTCCTTTTGCCTGTCTGTATTGGTGTTGGTCCCACAAACTGCTGCTGTCTCCCAGGCTCTCAGTTCTGGGGGTGCTTAGTGCTAGGATATGAGTGCCAGCTTGGTCTGTGTGGCGAGGACTGAAGGATGAGGTGATCTGTGAAAGGAAACAAACTCTGGACCTATGTGGGAGGTTAGGTAGGTTTTAATCTTCACCTAAGAGAACAAATATTAAGTAATTTCATATTACTTACTGTATTTTTATACTTCGGTTATTGATTGTGTTTTCAAAGCTGTTAACTGTGTTCATCTAAATCTACCACAAATCTTGCCTAGGTAGCATGTCAGCTCTGCTACAGCATTTGTCTGAGCTCTTAATGCAGAGAAAATATTTTTCTATCTTACAGCACTGAACATATTACTACTTTTCTGTCCTGCTCCTAGCCCTTCCTCTTCTAGTCTATGAAAGAAAATCAGTTCAGTTGTCTTTCCTTTTCAGTATTTCTCTTAGCTTGTCCCTGTCCCGTTAGATTCATTTTCTCTTACTTTACTTCTGAGATATTATTTCTGCTTTCCAGTTGGGCCATGAAATTAGTTCCATTATTTTGCAAAAATAATAAGAAGTAGCCTTGTAACTTTTCTTTATGCAGTCCCTTTTACTGGGGAGGAAGTTACTGTAGGTATCCACACAATTTCCCCACCATACTTTTCAGCTTGGCTAAAACTCCAGAAGGTTCCTTTGGAGGAGATAGTACGGTGGAGACTTGGTACTGCCTTCTTATGCCAACTAAATTTATCTATTTTTTGGAAACCTTCCAAGGTCTTGTTTAGCTGCTTAAGCTTTACTTGTCCTTTAATATCTTCTGTTATCTATATCTTGTTATCTATATAGTGTTTGGCCTGTCTGTAGCTAGAATATATAGAACTCAAGGCAAAATAGTTACTTTTTTTTTAAAACTTCTTCCCCTCTTAAGAGTGTATTTATTTCTTTTTAAAAGAACTGCTATAGCCCTTTCCTGTAAATGATGGACAGACAGATGTGGCACTAGAGACATGCCATTTCTCTTAACTGTGAAAATCCTTTAACATTCATTCTTCAAAAGGTAGGTCTGGCAATCCTGTGGGCTTCAAAAGAATTAGGATGGAGCAGTGATAAACTGTGGTAATGTTTTTTTTAACTGTGTGCCAGGCCCACATGTGAAGAGGTAGATGCATTTTGTGTACCACTTGTTTGGTAGTCCCTGACATACACTGGCTCAACAGAGGAGGTACCTGGAGCAAATCTTTTTTGTTGCACAGTGCTTCAGTGACAAATGTGGAGGGGACCCCGTAAGTGTAGGGAAAGGACAGCTGAGGACTAAGCAAATGAGAACTGTGTTTTACATTGTGGATGTATTGCCTGAATTTCAGTTAGTTGGTTTTGTTTGGGTTTTGAATTCTGTGACTTTGTACAATTGGACATGGAAATGAGAACAGAGAATCAACAGTGAATATCAAGGCAAATGAAATGGAGTCTGGAGAGCTTGGAAGAAATAATATTAAATTGAATTTATAATTTCAGATCTAAATAAATTGGATTAATAAGTTGTTGTGGTTTGAGCCTGGTTGGCAGCCAAACACCACACAGCTGCTCACTCCTCCCTTCTCTTCCAGTGTTGAGAAGGGACAAATGAGCCAGACTTGGGATTCGAAATAGGACAGGGAGGGGCAGATCACCCATTATGGTCACAGGCAAAAGGCAGACTTGTTAGGGGAAGAAAAAAAGAACATACATTTATTACAGACACTAACAACAACACTCAACAGAGTAGGACAGTGAGAAGCATTGCCACATTTGAGAACACCTTTCCCCCCACCCCTCCCTTCTTCCTGGGCTCAGCTCTGCTCCCGATATCTCTACCTCCTCCCCGCAGCAGCACAGGGGCAGGGAATGGGGGATGCAGTCAGTGTTGCCACTTCTTCCATCTTCGGTGGGGGGAGCTTCTGGAACTTCTTCGCCCTGGTTCATCATGGTCCCCCTCTCACAGGAGACAGTCCTCCACAAACTTGCTCTGATATGAGTCCCTCCCATGGGCCGCAGCAGCATTTCCTTACACTGCTCCGGCGCGGGACACCAGCTTTCTCCACTGGAGTCCCTCCCACAGGCTGAAGTCCTTCCTGAGCTGCTCCAGCGTGGGACACCCCCGCATGCTTCAATCCTCCCAGTGCTGAACCACAACATTGGGGTCTACCTTTTACCACAGGAACCCGGCCTCATTCTGGGACAGCACCTTGATCAACCAGGCAAAAAACACAGGCCATAAATCAATGTCTGATACACCCTAGATCTCCACGGGTGGCAGGGGGGGCCGCCCTGCCGTCTCACCGCAGGATACAGGGGGGTCTCTGCTCCGGCACACCTCCCCCCTCCTTTCTTCCTCCGTTCCTCCACTGACCTTGGTGTTCACGCAGCTGCAGCAACTCCTCTTCACAAGTCCGACTGCCCGTCACCACATCCCTTCTTAAATACGTTATCTCAGAGGTGCAGCTGATTGGCTCAGTTTTTGTGCAGGGGTGGAGCTGACTTGGAGCTGGGGGAGCTTCAAGAAGCTTCTCACAGGGCCACCTATGTAGCCCCCTCCCCTGCGACCAAAAACCCCATCACTCACTCAAACCCAGGATATAAGCGTTTAATAATATGCGAGGAAACAAATTTCAAATAACCAAGCAGTTTGAAAGTAAAAAAATAGGCGTCTGTGCATGTGTTTTGTAGTGAAATGTTTAATGCAATGGGAAACCTGCTGATGTGCTTTGCTTTTTATCCACTTTTCCAGGAAGCGAAGGCTTATCAGTGCTAGCTGAACGAGTGGGATCACAAATGAACCATTCTGCAAGTATGCAGAGAGGAAATGGTCACAGCCCTGAAAAAATGGATTTTATGTTTTCCCATAATAAAAGAAAACGACTTGCCCCTACTCTAGTGGGACAGAGCATGGTATGTTTCACCAAACAGTAGCCCTTTGTTTTGAGGCCAATTTCAATGTTGTTTGGAATGTCGTTCTTCCTTCGCTTCTGTATGATCATTTGATGATGTCCCAGTGGAGAAGTGTGGGTAGGATATCCATGTAGCACATGAAAGCTTCTAGCAAAAGTAAAACTTTGTTGTGCTGGATACTGTGCATGTGTATAACAACAGGTAGTGTACAGTGGATAGTAACTTACACTAATTACCCATGTAGATGCTCTTATTTTTTCAGTAAAATCTTTGTGCAATTTAGGATAATAAGAGTTGAAACTTAATGTTGGGTATGGATCTGCCTCTATGAACAATTCTGTCCAAAGACAGATTACATATATTTTTCACTTGAAGTAGTCTGAAGCTTTGTTCATGTCACCATATTTAATTCTAAAATTCCAACAGTTGGGGTGTCTTTAATGCTATAAAAGCAGTTCCTCTCTGTTTAACTCTGCCTGTTGTAAAACAAACAAACAAAATACCCCACACACCCCAAACTTTTTAAAATAAGACAATAAGACCTGATTAAATAGGACTTAGTTTAAAAAAAAAAAAAAAAAAAAAAGAAAAAGAAAAAAAGGCAGAACAGCAACAGACTCATGAAATCCATGACGTATGGAGGACAGGACCTGCTCCCATCCAGTAAAGGAAAAATGCCGGAATTGTCCAGGTGGTGGCACTGTTGATTCCCGTCAAAAAGCAGTTTTCAAGCAGTGTCTCTTGGACATTTCTGCAGCTTCTGAGTGTAGTTATACCCATTGAAAGAAATACAAATTTTTTTCAAATAGAATTATTTAAATTAGTGTAAAAATCTACATGATGTCTCATAATTACATAAGCCTGGATATATAGTACTTATATAGTTACATGAGAAAGTTCTGGCCTTAGAATAACCAAATAAAAATACATATTATTATATAAATTTGCAAGAGATTTATGTAAACCAGAATAAGATACTCTTAAAACAAAAGTGAAGTGAGTATTCATATGACCTAACCACAGACACATAAATGGGATGACTGTGTTAAGTCTTACTTTCTTGGGCCCTTTTGTAGCCAGAGGAGGGAATATAGCTACAACTGAAAGTGTCCAAGTTGGATTCCTAGCAGGTTCTCTCTGTAGTTTATATTTTGAAGTCTTCCATTATTCAAAACATTAAAAGTTCTTTATGTTGTTTCCCAGATGAGAACCAGGGAAGGAGAATATGAAGACAGTGACAGTGTCATTTATGAGTATGAACAAGACTATGAATGTGTAAGTTAATTTTCTTTATTTTTTTGACTAACTTTGAAATCTGCTTTGGGGTTGCGTGTTTTGGGGTAAACTAAAATAATACATGCAATATGAAGTTGAGATTTATTGGCATAATGTGATATCCTAAAACTGTGTATATATTTCTAACTTACACCTTTTTTTTTTAATTATTTTAATAAAAAAGGGGAGTATTGTATCTGAAGCTTCCTACACTGAAGCTTCCTACATTGGAGATCAGCAGAAAACTCTTATGGAGGTCCTCAGTTATTGCCAGGTATTTTTTTTTCTCTTTATCTCTGAAATTGCATTTAAACAATTCTAGTTAAATTCCAGGAAGATTTGCATTCTATATTTGATAACTTACGACTTCATCCTTTACAGTTGTTCATTCATCAGTTGCCCACTTCAGTATTTTCAATGAAAAGATAATCTACTTCTTCATATTCTCTGAACTTTTAATAGTACAGCTGGCAAGAATACTTTTCAAATACTAAGCTTTAATACGAAATGTAAAGTCTAGTGATTTATTGAGAGGGGCTTCACAGTAATGGGAAAGATCTGACTGTCATACACACCCAGTTTTTGAAAGCACACAAGGCTTGCCAAAAGCGCATGAAAATCCTAATAGTGTTGTTTTGGCTAGTTCTTTGCTTTTGACTCCTGAAGCAGTAGTTGGCGAGATTGAAAATCACTACGCTGAAAATTAAAAGCATCAATATGTATTCAGGTGAGCATTTATGTGACTCCGGAGTCACAGTAATCTGTAGAGTGAGAGACATTCAGGCCTTGCTCTAGAGATCATAATTTGTGAGTGGCTTGTAGCCAAATATTAATGTCTTGTAAATCTCATGCATATATTCAGCAATGATGTGGAAGAAAATTGACTAAGATTGTGTGACTGACATTCTTGCCGCTAGTCTGGGAGTGTGTGCTGTAGTAACTAGTGCTAATGAGAAGCTATAGCCTCTCTTTTGTTGCCTACTAGCCCCTTTCCATCTCTTTCACCCTGCTGTTATACCCTTCTCACAGTAAATCTGCCCTAGGGCTACATGAAGCCTTTTAATAATGCTTGACTGTCCACACAGATTTAGTCTTTTGTACTTTCTTGAGATATTTCTGAATTTTGGGAATATTTATAGATTCTTTTGTCTAAGGTTATTTAATTTATTGAAAAGACAGATATAGTATTGAAACCTAATTTGGTTTTGATAAAATTTAAAATAATTTTAAATTCCATCTACTGCAAATCCATCTAGCAATTTTTTTTCATAGCCATATGTATTTTTAAAAAAATCCCTGACTAGTTATGCTGTAGATCAACAGAAGAAATCGCTTTAGTTAGTTGAAGACATGTTTTCTCTTTAACTCGTATAGTTACAATGCCCTTGTGTGTGTTTTGCAGTAATAGCTGATGACACGTGCCTGATACGTATTTTCAAGTTGTCAGTGTCCTTTCAATACTACATTAATATTCTGTTATTTAATTCTTTTGATACTGTTATGGCACTAAGTGTATGTCTGAATTGCTATGTAAGCATCATGTTTGAATTGCTAAATCCTGGAAACACAGAAGGAGGATTTTTCTACATTGCAGAGTAATGTATATTAATAACTGATGGACTTTGAATGTTTTGATTTATCTGGGTTTTATGTCTGAAAATTTGGGCCTTTAAAATAATACTTTTTTAAAGTTTGTACCTGGTTGCTTTAAGGCAACATGAATTTTTAGCATCTGAAAGAAAACTTAACCCTGGGAATTGACTGAAGATCAGATGCTTCCAATAAAATAAGTAATTTTTTTTCAAAATATCTTTAATTCTGTGTTTATTAAAAATGTGGATGTAGTCTCTAGCCCATAAGAATGTTTTTCACCAGGCACAAGGACTACTAATCACTGGCTTCATTGTGTAAGCCTTAGTGATAGTGGTTCTTAGTGGCTGTATTGTAAAAACCTGACTGTAATCCAGGCCTTGCTAATGACTTTACTATTGAAGAGGAGATAAGACTGATAAGAGATGAGCATCCTCCCCAGTTGACTAATAGGCCTAATTGTTGCCCAAGAAGTATGAAGTCAGCAAAAATTTCTGGTAACTGGGGGACCTTCTCCCCCCACCTGTAAGGAGCATACGTGCTAATTTACCTTGCAAGGGAGGCTAATTCAAATGTGACTAACCAATAGTAGATGGAATAGTATTTACGGACCAATGAGTGTAAATTTAGATAGGTTTTTACTAATCATGTAATAGGATAAATAGGCTGTAGTTCCTTTGTGCAGTGTGCTGCTTTGTGGAATTACCACCTAGCACCCATCTTTGCACAACTGTGGAATAAACTGCTATCTCAGCTCTGTGTGTGAGACTGGCTTTTGCACACCAGGTAATGAGCCCTGTTTGAGGGACAACATGGATGCAGCTGGTTTCAATAACATGTTTGTCCTGAAAGGCATGACTGAGTTGATTTCTCCACACATCGTTTACATCCCATTTACAGAGTCACAGGATGGTTGAGGTTGGAAGGGACTTTGGGAGGTCATCTTGTCCACATCCTGAATTCAAGCAGGGCCACCTAGAACTAATTGCACAGGACCATGACCTGATGGCTTTTGAATATCTCCAAGAAGAGAGTCTCCACAACCTCCCCGGGCAACATATGCAAGGGCTCAGTCACCCTCACAGTGGAAGAAGTGTTTTCTGACATTCAGATGGAACCTCATGTGTTTCTGTTTGTGCCCACTGCCTCTAGTCCTGCCACAGGGCACCTCTGAAAAGAGCCTGGCTCTATCCCCTTTTCCATCTCCCTTCAAGCATCTGTATGCATTGATGAGATTTGCCCCTGAGCTTTGTCTTCTCCAGACTGAACAGTCCCAGCTTCCTCAGCCCTTCCTCATAGGAGAGATGCTCCAGTCCCTTCATCACCATCATGGCCCTTTGCTGGACGGCTTCTAGTATGTGCATGTCTCTCTTGTACTGGGGAGCCTAGAGCTGGACCCAGCACTCCAGATGTGGCCTAACAAGTGACAAGAAGAGGGGAAGGATCACCTCCATCAGTCGGCTGGCAACACTCCCCCAGTGCAGCCCAGGGTACCATTAGCCACCTTTGTGGCAAGGGCACATTCCTGGCTTATATTCAAGTTGTTAACTGCCAGGAGATCCCAGGTCTTTTCTGCCAAGCTGCTTTTCAGCTGGGTGGCCCCCAGCATGTACTGGTGCCTGGGCTTGTTCCTCCCCAGGTGCAGAACTCTGCACTTTGTTGAGGTTATGAGGCTCCTGTCTGCTTATTTGTCCTGCCTGTTGACATTCCTCTGGATGGCAGCAAAACCTTCTGGTGTATAAGCCACTTCTGCCAGTCTCTTGTCACCTGCAAACTTGCTGTGGGTACCCTTTGCCCATCATCCAGATCATTTATGAAGATGTTTGGATCAGACTCAGTATTGACCTTTGAGGTACTCCGCTAGTCACTGGCTTCCAACTAGACTTTGTGCTGCTAATCACCACCCTCTGGGACTGACCATTTGTCCAGTTTCCAAACCACCTCACTGTTTGCTCATCCAACCTGTACATCAGCAGCTTGTCTGTGAGGATCTTACAGGAGACAGTGTTGAAAGCCTTCCTCAAGTCCAGGTAGACAATATCCACTGCTCTCATGTACCAGGCTAATCATTTCATCATAGAAGGTTATCAAGTTGGTCAGCTGTGACTTCCCCTTGGTGAAGCCATGCTGTGCCAATTCTTGGTGGTATTCTTGTAATTTGTGTGCCTGGAAATGGTTCTGTCACCTTCTCGGGGATGGAGGTATGTCTGACTGATGTATAGTTCCCTGGGTCATCCTCCTTGTCCTTCTTCAAGGTAGGATTGGCATCTGCTTTCATCCCAACTTTGGACACTGGGTCTTGCTAGTAAAGGCTGAGGCAAAGCAGTTGAAAAGTGCCTCAGCCTTTTCCATGTCCTGTGTCACCAGGTCCCCCATCTCCTTCAGCTGTGGGCCCACATTTTCCATCTGTCTTTGACATCCCTCATCACATTGAGTTCCAGTTAGGACTTTTCCTTTACAGATAGTATTTTTCTAAATATATTTCCCATTTGTGATAGAGAAATCAGTACTTCGGTGGCTGCACATAAGCCTTTTACCTGTGTACTTTTAAACTTATTAAGACTTAAAACAGCATATAACAATACCTAACTTGCCTCAGAGCTGGTCAGTGACTTTTAAATGTAAAACAAAACATAACAAATAGGTAAAAATAAAACATCTGCTGTAAGTGGGAAGAACAGCCTTTAAGTTCTAGCCAAGTTAATCACAAGACTAAGCTTCTTTGAGAATTGTTTTTATTGTGATATTTAGCATTATTACTTGCATTTTATATCTAAATTGATATTTAATGTGTTTGTGGAATGTATGTATTATCTACAGATCTTACCCAGTTTTAGGGAGGGAAGTTTGCCCTTAACTGAACTTCCTTGATTTCTTCAGATTTAAATTGGGTTCTCATTAAACAATGCTGTTTTCACTCTTATGTTTGTTGCCAGGCCATGTATGATGCCATTCAGAAACTGGATAAAAAATTTGACCTACTTCATCGGAAAGTCTCAGAAATGCAGCATACTCGTGTAAAGCCACTGTTGCTCAAACCTGTGAGTATTAAAGACCCAAGGCATTTATTCTTTAACTCTCTCAGTTCCTCTGATGCTTATTAAAAAAAAAAAAATCCTATCCTTTTACTAAGATTAAAATTAGTGGCAAAGTAGTAGACTTAAAATCCATTTCAGTTAAATTATTCTAGGTCTCTTTCTATGTGCCAGCTTCAGTCTCCTGTGTTGTTATCGACCAGTGGTCACAGAATGGCCACCGGCCCCCATCAAATTCAGGATGCTGTGATAGATGCTGTAGAATTCTGTCTGTATTGGAATGAACGGAAATTAATTGTGTAGGCTATGACTTAAACTTAGTTATATTGGTGTTGCTGCTTTATGAAATGTGGTGTACTGTCTTAACTCGTTTCTGCACTTTGAAGAGAGTTTATGTATCATTGATACAGGCTGGTTCCATTGACTAACAGATTTTTAGATCTCATCAGTGTGTTGTCATATCCGTTATGGTATAGAATTGTATTTTTTTTAATAAAACACCTTTCTTCAAAACTTTCAAGAAGGTTTGATATTGAGTACACAATATCAGTTTTGTTCCTATATGGTCAATCCTCTGTTAACTAAATAGTCAGAATATTATTACTTTTAGCAGTGCTCTTAAAAAGGAGAACATAACAGATGTTTTTTGAAGAAGATCATAAAATTCATAATGACCTTTCTTTGTCAACTGTACTGCAAAGCTTTCAGTGTGGCAGAGGTGATCCTGCTGTCAGGAGATGGCAAGACATCAGTAAGGCCATTTGCTTAAGGGTGGGTAAAAATAGTCATGCACATCAGTTATCAATAGGATACTAGGTTTTATTTTGGAATGCATTTTTGTTGAAAACTCCAAGTTTGTACTGTCCACATGTCCAAAAATACGAGATTTGGGGAACAAACTGGTCTTGTCAGCTACACTTGGACCCTGTGACCTCTGTGCTCTTAGCCTTTTTTTTTTAAGAAGGCTTTTATTGCTATAAGGTGTAAGGTGAACACCAGCAAATGCAACCTGCCAAATGTTTTCTTCCATTGTGCTAGAACTTTAAAACAATCAGGAATGTGGTATGTTTGGTTTTTTTTTAATAGCTGTACCACTGTTGTATCTGTGATGGACTAAGGATATAAATAAGGAAAGGCTGGTGGTAAAGGTTTGGTTTTTTTTACTTTAGATGAACTCCAATAGCTGGAGAAATGGACAGCCTTTCAGGCACATAACCCTTTTTTCAGGTCATATATTTTTAAAGGTTACAAGGGTGGAATATAATCAGATTTCTATAAACACAAAAAAAAACACAAAAAGAAAAACAAAACAAGAAAACAAAAAAACAAACCTGCATGTCAGATACATTTGGTAGCTCCTGCTCAGTGACTTGTATTTTGAACAAGAACTCATGCTTTAGGGTGCATATGTTTCTTAATAAAAGTACTCCAAGTGGTAGAAAGCGTAGCTTGTCTCTGTCTGTCTTAGTCTTTTTGGAATCTTCCATTGTAGATGAGATTTGAATGTTTAATGTTTTCAGCTAGCAAAAAAAGAACGAAGAAGCAGCTGGGAGAGAAAGTGGATTGTTTATTTCTTGTTTAAAAGGAAGCTGTCATGGCAGTGGAGACATCCCTTGAGAATTCATCAGACTGGGTCAATGGCTCACAAATTTTAAATTTTGTTTGCATATTGTTTTTTTTTTAAATAGATTTTTTTAAGAGCATTTACAAAGCTGCCTTTCTCATTACATATTTCTCTGGCTTTTTAGAAAGCAGTTGTGCCCCAGGTGAAAAAAACTTGAGAAATGTCAAAGCTGACCAGATAAACAATTAGGGTTGGAACTATAAGTGAGTATAAAATAAAGTAGAGGGAGGGCTAAAAAGTAATAGCACTGGCTTCATGACAATGACCACTTCAATGAAGAGTCTGTTGCCAATAGCATTATTGCTAAAATCTAGTCTTCTTGGTTTGCAAAAGAAGAAGATTACCAGGCATATCTAACTTAACCTTTTAATTGTTTTCTGAATCACATTTGTAGAAACCAGTTGGATTTACATACAGAAGTTCCAGTCATTTGCCCCAAGGAAAACTAAGAATACAAAAATCCATGGAAAGGGAATCAAGTCTTCATCTCTCTTCACCAGGCCAGGGAAGGCATAGCCCTGTAGTAAGGGTTACTTTACAAAATGGCCATGTTCAGATCAATTCCCCAGTAAAACATGTTCAACAGAGTCTTCCGATTGAATTGCAGCAGCCTGTTCATAGGCAGAGCCCACCACTCCCCACTATAGTTTCTACGCATTCGTTGCATTCATCATACACAGCAGCTAACAGGATGCCTGACCTCTGTCCACAATCAAATCTTGTAGCCAGCGTTGTGGAAAGTACTGTCAATGTTGCATCTTCACCAGTGGCATCGTCATCGATGCCAGCACCGTCTGAAACCAGTCTGGGAAATAGCGACGTGGTGGTGAACTACAGGAATGCATCTGGAAAAGCGAACAATAGTAGGGAACAACCATCTTCTTCAGTCTCCATCAATCCTAGCTTTGGTGAGTTCCTTTGTAATAAATACTCAGAAATGAAGGTTAAAAAACTGCTGCTAGTATAAAAAATATGCCTAAATAAATGTTTATCATTATTAGCAAAAGTAAAGGAGCAGAACTGGCTGCCTTACAAGCATTTCTGTAATGGAATACTGTTTAAAACTCTTGAAACAAAGGTCATGAGAATGTTTAATATGCCAGGGATCACTTAAAAACCTCTGCAATGTATATACAGATGTGTAGAATACCACAAGCCTTTGATTTACAGTACGTGCTTTGGGTCCTTTTAAGACTAAGCCCTCTTTTTCTCTCTTGATACACTTGATGTAACCTATTTTTAACCTGTGTATGTCATAAGTAATGTATGCATGCTATGCATATGTTTAAAAAGGCAAAAGAGATTGTCAGTAAAGCTAAGTGAGGCATATGCCTCTATACATGTCGTACATTTAAGAAAGCAACTTACCTGATTTGTGTGAAGGAAATCTTGTTTTCTTCTTGTGGAGGATTTTATCAGTGCAAAATCCTTTCTATCCTCAAATCCTCCAGTGTTTGGTTTCTTTCAAAATAATTAATTCCACAGAAAATGAAGAATTCCATAGATCATTGGATCATAATAAACAAGTACATATAAAAAGCACCATGTTTTAAAAATGAATGCATTTCTTTCTAAAGTATAAATGCCCTGAGTTATGTGGAAGGCTGACCTATGAGTTTTTGGTTGCTTTTAGTCTAAAAATAAGTTCATACAGCTGAAGAGCTGCACAAATAGTAGGTGAAATACTCAAGATACCTGCAAATTTGTAAACAGTGTATGATAGCAGTACTACATACGGATATATCATTCTTCATGGGTCATTGTCTTGGAAACATACATGGTATCTGCATGTGTGTAAAATAGGCCAGTCTGAACATTTTGGACTGTTAAGCATCTAATATTTTCTTGGGTGTTATTATTTTAGTTACATTGGTGGTTAACATGAATCAAAAAGATATTTTGATATTTCTGTTACCATTCCAATTTAAAGCTGCTTTTGTAAGAGCAAAGACAAGTCATACATAATAGAATTAGCTGTAGTAGAGAGCGTATACCAAGAGTACCATAGGGAAAGGGTTTGAAAAAGTATTCTTTTTTTAACAACTTGCTTGGGGTTTTAATTTTTTTTTTCTTTAAATGTTTTTGTTTATGAAAGAGTTTGTTGGTGACCCAGTGAGAAATGTAAAAGTTCTTGGAAACTATTTGATGAAAGCTCGGCAAAAGACTAAACCAAAGTATGCAGCGCGCTACTTAGTTCGTGTCTTGTTTCCCAAGGAAACATTATTGTGCAGCGTTATGGGAGTTGGTGCACGAGGGCGCAGAACATTGGATCCAAACAAAATTGCTGCAATAAGAGGTATACTATCTTTCAAAATGCACAGTTTATTTCTTTAATACTTAAAGTTTTTAACTTACGAGGAGTCTTTTTCTGTATGTTTCTGCTAACCATTTTCTAGTTACTGATGAACTGATAAACGTGGTAGTGGATATGCTCTACTGTGCTGTGTCTGTTGGTTTTGAAATCCCTGCTTTGTAATTCTCAATGTTCATTTTTCTTCAGTGTGGATAAAACAAGTCTGTTTTCTCCTAGTTTTGTGTACTTCATGTTCATCAGCCATGCATAGTGTTTCTAAATTTTTCATTACAACTTACTTTGTGTTTGTGTGTGGCATGGATTTTGTGGGGGTGGTTTTTTGTTTGGTTCGTTCCTTTTTTATTTGGTTTGGGCCTTTTTTATGGCTGTGGTACACTTGGGACAAATGGTGACTGGTGATTCTTAAATACTCTTTCTCTTAAGTTCACTTCTCTTGTTTGAGAAAGGGCTTGGCATTTTTAAAAAAATGCCCTTCCCATCTTCACCATTTACACAGATCCCATGCCATATATGCATAAACCTATACATCTCCCTCTTCCTGCTTAGCTTCAAAACATGAGTTTACTGTCTCTCTTTAATTAAAGCTGGAAATCTAAAGCTTCTGAATGGAGGACAGTAAATGTGAAGCATTTCTTAGCTTTTTCTCTTTCTGTCTACATTAGAATACTTCTAAATACCACTTTTTGTCATGAAGTTTAAAAAAAATTTCTACGTTTTATGTGCAGAATTTCTTGCAACTAACTTTCCAAACTATGATTTGAGCGAGTATGGAAAAGACTGGAAAACGTGTATCACAAATGTCAATGCTATGATCCGCTGTTTACGCTCTGAAACAATAATAAAACCAGTAAGTTGTCTCAAGGTGATGATTTATTGAGTACTAATTTCGTGCTTCTTTCTCAAACTGATTATTTAAATTCTTCATCATACGAGTGCTCTAATTGGAAGTTCCTTGGGTTCTGTCTTTGCATTGTTCAGTATAGACCTGCTGACTGCAGTCTTAGTTCCATATAGGGAATACTGGAAACATACCCCTTTCTCTTGCTCTGCCTCTTCCCACTCCTGTGTCCAGCATTCAGTTAAGAGGTATATAAGCATAGACTACTAAAAGGAAAATACTGTAAATGTTGCCCAGAAGTAGTGTCAAATTTGACTGTGAGCTTAAAACATGTAGCTGCTAGCACTGTTTTCACAGGCTTTCCTTCATATATATATATATTCAGCCATGCATTTCAACTTTATAATGACTGAAACGTTACTCCCAAAACACCTGTAACTCCATTTACCTCTGTTTCTAAAAAGCTTTGTGCAAATCTGTGAATATTTAGTATCTGTTTCACCTGTGGTTTTCATGACTGAAATTCAAGAGTAACTATATTGTAAATATCTGAAATCTAATTTATACTAAATGGGAAATGAACTGGAACACTAATTAGGAAACTAGTAGGCTCTCCCAGTGCATGCACTAACCTCATTTAATGTTTCAGGAGACGGCTGAAGGGAAAGAAAAAGTGTCTGATGCTCCAGATACATCTCATTACGTAGATTTAAATTATAATGAAGATAGTGAAGGCAATTCTCAGAACTGTCAGAAAATGACCAACTCCACAACTGACACATCGCAGAATTCAGGATTGGATAAATTACCAGAAGCTTTCCACACACCTTCAGTCAAGAAATCACAGTCTTTGGAACCTATGGGTAACCTAAGAAATTTTCATCTTCTGGATTATTGTGTTATATTTTAAATGGTCAGTGAGAGGCAGAAGGTGCTATTGTAGATGAAATTGTGTAGTAAAGCGATTTGCTGAACTGTGCGACTCTTCCTCTTAAGGCAGTCACTTGATGTATATATATTAAGTCTTCGTGGGAGCAAACAAGAATATTATTTGGCTAACAGAACATGTGTTTGCATCTACCAATGTCCCATAGTGCATATCCACTGTAAGATTGGAAAGTTCAGCTGTAAGATATTCTGCTCAGTTTCTTTGAATAATTAATTTTCAATAATTATTTCACAGTTGCCATGGGTTGTTTATTTGGTAGATTTTCTACCTCAGTGGTGTGAGCTAGCTCAGAATATCTGTTGAATGGTGTTGCAATTTCAGAAGAAAAGCACATCTTTCTATAAAACTGACAATTAAGGACAATAGAAACCTTAAAGCAGCCTTTAGATATATATTTATATAGATATAGATATGTTTTAATAAAAATGCACAATATACAAATGCATTGGAAAAAAATTTCATGTACAGCATGTGATGCCTCTAGAGAGTGTCAAGGAAAATGAGCTGAGATTAGTTGCCCTTGGAAATAATTTATTTGGTTAGAATCGTTCTGGGGCTCTATCAGGTCTGTTCCTGCACCCAAGATTTGTTAGACTGATCCCACATACCTCCTCATTTACTATACATTCTGCTTTTTTGCCTTTTTTTTTTTTTTTTTATGTTTGCAGTTGAGTCAGGTTGAACTAATCAAAAAATATGCGCTGTGTTTTTCAGTTTCCATTTACAGGATCTAAGCACCACTGAAATAGCAGAACTTTTATATACTTATGTAATTGAAATAGCATCATCTTTTCACATGAGATGAAAACAATTTAGAAAGCAGTCATTAATAATGCAGGTTACGTTGCTAGCATTGCTGAAAGCATATCAGAAGTGCTGTTACATTGTTGTAAAGCAGGCACGGCTTTTTGGCGACTTGGACATTTGTCTACAGTATGTTATATTTTTAGTATTAGCTGTAGTGTTAGGGTTTTGCTCTGGTCTTTCCAAGCAAGTACAGTAGTTTCGGGGAGAACTTTTTGTGTCCTAGTTTTAGTATAATGAAACCATTTTTGAAGCATAGTCAATATTGGATAAGTAAAATTAAATTTTTTTCTCTCTCTCTCTCTCTGACATCCTTTCTAGAACTTCTTGGAAGTCCATGGCGCAATGTCCAGTTGCCTTTCTCGGTCATTTATGTAGCTAAGGGGAAGTCTCGGCCAGAGTTGTCAGCTCGCTACCTAATTCGTCATATGTTCACTGAAGATGTGCTGGTAAAAAGCAATGTATATGGTAATCTTGAACGTGGCATGAGACCACTGGACTGCAACAGAATTAATGCTCTCAGAGGTAAGAAAATCTGTTCAAATTATAATGTGGGGAAATTAACAAGAGTGATAAACTTTGTATTCTGTGAACAAACCATGGAGCTTCAGAAATGAGACTGTGAAACTGTTCTGACAGGTATTAGTGCAAGCAGTGGAACAAGTTGAGAGAAAGTAGATGATGATATATATAAGCAATTTAAGGAGGTCTCCAGGTCACAAGCCTGGCTCATATGAGGAAGCTCTGTCTCCATGGCATGTGCTTGAAAGGACAACACATTGGGAGATGGAAGCAGTCCCAGAGGATTCTGGAGGGTATTGGGGGATAACTTCTTTATACAGGTGCTAGGTAGTCCAACCAGAGGTAATGCATAGCAGGTTGTGGTACTCTTCCCAGAAAGGGTTGGGGTGTGATAATTGGTATTGCCTGCAGAGAGCAGGTATTGTAGTATTGCAAGGACCTCAAGATCCTGAGTAGAGTTAAAGTCTGAGGGTCCAGACCCTGTAGCTTAGGAGAGCAGACTTTGGCTTATTCAGGAAACTAATTGGTGGGAGCTTATGGGAGACAGCTCTGAAGAGGAGAGAAGTTCAGGAAAGTGTGCAGGTCTTTAAGGACAGTATTCTGCAAGCACAAGAGGGTCCATCCTGACACTTAGAACTGGTAGAGTTATGGGGAGACAAGTTTGGCTGAGCAGTGAATCCATAACTGAGCTCCAGTGCAAATAAGCAGTATATAGATACTGGAATCAAGGACAACTTATAAAGCAGAATTTAGCAACTTTGCCTGGGTGTATTGGAATGGTGTCAGGAAAGCCAAAGCTCAGCTAGAGTTGGGACTTGCAAGGTATGCCAAGGGCAGCAAGAAATGCTTCTACCACAACATTAATTGGAAAAGACTGAGCAAGGAGAGTATGGGCCTGTTGCTGAATGGGGCAGGTAACCTAAAGATTAGGCTGAGGTGCTCAGTGCCTCCTCCACCTCATTCTTCACCATGAAGGTCTCTTAGGCCTCTGGGTGGCGGTAGTTGGGAACAGTCAGCATGTTTTTACCTAGGGTAAATCATGTTTGACACACCTGATTGCCTTGTATGATAAGATGACTGGACTTGTGGATGAGGGGAGAGCAGTGGCTATAAGTTAGCTTGATTATTTTTTTTAGCAAGGCTTTCAACACTGACAATATTTTGGTATTCATGTTGGGATATTATGGTTTGGATGGGTGGACATGAAAGGACTAGATGGATATTTGTGCTCAAAGGGTAGCGGGTCTTGCTCTACTTGGGTGACTGGCACACGGGATGCTGCAGGGGTGTGTCCTGGAATGTGGCCTGTTTAACATCTTTATGACTTGAAGACAATGGAGAACAGTCATCAGGTTTGCATTTGACAGCAAATTGGGACTGTATTAACAGGTGCACAGCCAGCAGATGAAGGGAGAGAATTAAATCCCTCTGTTTAGCACTCATGAGTTTTTGTTTGGATTACTGCATGCAATTTTCGGTCCCCTAGTACAAGAAAAGGATATCAGTAAAGCTGGACAGCCACCAAAAGGCACAGGGAACTAGAGCACTTGTCCGGTGAGTAACCTGGACTTACTTGGTCTGAAAAAGAGAAGGCTTCAACAGGACCTAGTAACAGTCTGCCACTATCTGTCTTCTCAGTAAACTCCTAGAGTCAAGCTGTTTGAAGCATTGAATGTGGAAAGATGAGAGACCACAGACATAAGTGGAAATGAGAGGTTCAGACTGGCTATGAGCAGACTCTTTGTCCCCATGAGGACAGTCAAGCAGTGGAGCATGTTGCCCCATGAGGCTGTGCCATCCGTTGTTTTTCCACACCTCAGTGGACAAAGCCCCGAGCAACCCGGTCTGACCTCAGAGTTGTCCCTGCTTTGGGCAGGAGGTTGGAGTAGAGACTTCTCAAGGTCCCTCACAGCCTGAGTGACTGTGATAGGAAAGGAACAGATTGAAGTGCCTTGCCCTAAGGGGCTCCACTGAGATAAAAGGTCTCAGCAAATTATTTAATCATTTAGAAGCTACAGGTGAGGTAAAGACTGCTGCCAAGTGAACAGGCAGCGGTTTGGACTATACCAGTTTGAGCTATTTGAAAAGATACACTTCAGTAAAGATTCATTATTCAAGTAATGTGTAACAGCTTATTCCACTGTATGAATATGGACAGTTTTGAAGTTTCCTCAGCTTACATGAATCCAAGATGTCTTCAGGAAACTGATATTATTTATTCTATTTGCAAATGCTATTCCAGAAGCAGAGGAAGGCTATATTATGGTTGGAATTGTAGTAGATGTTTTGTCTTCTGCATTGTTTTCAATTCAGTATTAAGACTTCTGAAACACTGATCCATGCTCCTTCCTGAGAGGGAGTCTTCTGTTGGTCTCATTTGGTCCCTCCTGCAAGGCTGGATAAAACGAGCATAACTGTGACAGTAGAATTAGCGTAACAGTTATGTAGCAAGTGAGGAGGCATATGAAGCAGGCTACAGGTAGAAAGGGTGTATGAGTTATCACACAGAAGAAATGTTGGCATTATCTGGTAAGATTTAATCATGGCCAGTGCAAACAGTGGTGTTGGGGGAGAGATCATTATGGTTTTGGTGGCCATTTGCTTTGTGGCTATTACAGTATCTTAGAGACTTCAACATATTTGAAAGGGTTTGGTCATGCAATATAGAAATCTTACACTTTTTCTTTAATTTTCTGTGTTTCTGTTGTATTTTCATTGTAAAAGTTGGCTTTTTTCTGAGAGATCTGAAGAGAAGATACTTTGCCAGGAATTCTTGAGTTTGCTTGTGGGATGTTATTTACTGGGCCAGGTGGTGGGCTGCAGGCAGTGTAATAGTGGAGTGCCTTCAATGTTTCCCAACACCACTGGCTTGATGTAGGGTTTTACTTCCACCTTATGGGTATCACTGTGGGATAGTGCTCGCTGGGTTAGTAAGGTTGCATATTTGACTAGTTACACTCATCTGGATGACACTCTTAGTCATATTATTTAGTTTTAGGTAGTCCTGCAAGGAGCAGGAATTTGGACTCGGTGATCCTTATGGATCCCTTCCAACTTCGGATATTCTGTGATTCATCACAATTTTTTGCAACATGCATCTTCTAACAAATCTTGAAACTGCTTATCCACCATGTCTGGAGTATAGGGAGGTTGAAAAGGTTGTTCCGATCTGGACAGTGCAACCTAACACCTCTGCAGGTGTGGCAAGACAGCCTCTGAGGATACAGCAATAATGCGAAATAAAATGGAGCTGAGACTTGCACTCTCTGGAGTGATGTCTGGGCATGGCTTGAGGAACAGACCATGTTAGAAACCATTCCCAATATAGCAAGACTATACATAAGAGTGGGCTTTCCCAAACTGTATATATTCCTTCATCACTAGCCTGGGAAGCTTTGCCACTTTAAGCATCTCCACATACTCCCATAGTACACATGCTTTGTTTCATGACATTTTAAGCTTAAGAAGCATCGAAAAGATGTATTAAGTGTGTCTTAAAGCTGGAGGAACACCATGTAGGCTCCAGAGCAGATAAGAGACAAAGTCTTCTATGTTGTGGTTGCAGCCAGACTGTGTCACTTGGCTCTGGGGCCAGAGGGCGGCCCCTGGCCTTGTTTTCTTTAACACTATAATATGGCCTGATTGGATGGCAGCATCTACTCTGGGAATGTAACCCTGCAGAGCAGGAAGGGGCCCTGCGTAGCCTTGCTGTAGTCCCAACAATTGGTCAGTTTCTGTGAAAGAAAAAGCATAATTTAAAAGCTGTTTCATGGGCCATGTACAAAGGCTCTGTAGGCCTGGTAGTAGGAATTCCTGTTCTGTGCAGTAGCTCTGAGGCCAAGCATTTTCTTGAATTTGCTGTTGGGGCTGGAGGGGAAGAGAGCCTGGCTGCCGCTTCAGCCAACAGCTTGTGTATCCTTTGTCAACACAGTTTTATTGCAGGAGCATCCTGGGAATGAAAGAGCCTAAAGTGCTCGTGCTCGCCCCCCTCATTCCTCCAGAACAGAGTAAACTTAAGGAGCACAAGTTTTTCTCTGTTATTTTCTTCCTTCAGACCCATGCTTTTCTGGTAAAATGGGTTTCCAGGTGTCCTGGTTTTAGCTGGAATAGAGTTAATTTTCTTCGTAGCAGCTACTATGGAGCTGTGTTTTGGATTTGTGCTGAAAACACTTTTAATAATGCAGAGATGTTTTAGTTACTGTTGAGCAGTGGTCACACAGAGCCAAGGCCTTTTATTTTCCTCGCCCCACCAGCGAGGAGGCTGGGGGTGCACAAGTTGCTGGGAGGGGACACAGCCAGGGCAGCTGACCCCAACTGACCAAAGGGATATCCCACACCATATGATGTCATGCTCAGCATATAAAGCTGGAGGAAGAAGGAGGAAGGGGCGGGGGACATTGAAAGTGATGACATTTGTCTTCCCAAGTCACCATTACACATGATGGAGCCCAGCTGTCCTGGGGATGGCTGAGCCCCTGCCTGCCCATGGGGAGTGGGGAATGAATTCCGTTTTGCTTTGCTTGTGTGCACGGCTTTTGCTTTGCCTATTAAACTGTATTTATCTCAACCCACGAGTTTTCTCACTTTCTCTTCTGATTCCCTCCTCATCCCACCGGGGTGGGGGGAGTAAGTGAGCAACTGGCTGCATGGTGCTTAGTTGCTGGCGGGGGTTAAACCACAACACCAGGTTTGGAACTATAAGTCAAAATATCAACGGTAAACAATGACACTATATTAGATTTTTTACTTGCTAGTATACATGAGAGCAATGGAAGAACAAAACTGACATAGTATCAACTAGCTATACCTTTCATTCTGTTGGTTAATCAGAAGTAGTAACTGTATTCCCTTTGATTTGAAATGACAGCTGACAATTCCTTTTTGGTTCTTATTTAAATCTTTCAGGGGCTTGCTTAGAGCACACATGTAATTCAGCTAAGCCCAGAAGGACAATCACTCCTCAGTAATTAAAAAAACAATAAAAATCTGGTTTTAAAATTACTCATTTTGCCTGTTGAAGGGGAGAAAGGTGCTGTAGTCTGACCTTATTTGTCCCATTGATACTGAACTCCAGTATTTGTTTGCTGATCTTGTTGCAGTATGGTAAGGAACAAGCTCTTGCAGTTTTTCTGTCACTGTTGTTCCTCTGCAGCTGTTACATTGAATTGCTGTGTTTGGTTTTAGTGAATATAATTGTCAGAGATCCTCTGAAGGAGGGCTTGGTCGATTTCTTTGCTCTGGTTGACCACATTAGAAACTGAAGTTACTCAGCACTTCAGGGGATCAAGCCCTGGTTACATGCTTTCAAGCATGGTTACATGCTTTCTTTGCATATTTTGTTTTTATGCTTAGACTTTTTGATGCTCATTTTCAAATTAAACAGAAAGGTGTGGGGGGGAAATATCTGTCTTCTAGCTTTGCTCTTCAAGCCTTGTAATATGCCTAGCTGTCCTGTTTTGGTGGCATGCGCTTGTTTTGGCTTACATACATCCCCAGAAGCTTGCATAAATGATTGATAACAGTATTACATACTTGTTTATTTTCAGACTTCCTTCAAGAGAATTATCCATCCTTTGACCTAAAGGAAACTGGATATGATTGGAAGGCATGCGTGGCTGCCATAAACAGCACAATCCGCAGTCTCAGACATGACCATAAAAAGGCTACAGTTGGAATCCGCCGGAAGGCCTTGGCAGTGCCATCGAGTGCAAAGACTCCTCCACAGAGTCCCACTTCAGTAAAGCCATTTGAAAATGACACTATCAATCTCATGGACTGAAGCTCTCTAACATCTATCTCAAAGTTTAATTTAGCAGATTTTTATAACTTCCACATAGATGCTTATTACATTGAGTTGTCCTATTATACTGTGTTGTCAGAAGCACTAAATGCATTATTTCATGAGACCAAAGTTAGCAGGAGACTTGGGAACCCTAACTCCTTGTATAAGTAGCACCTGTGCTTCTCAGAAATTACTTCCGCTGTTACCTGTAGCATTTGCAATGTCCTCTCCCCTAAAAGCACCTTCTCTGATTCATCAACTCTGAAAGATTAATCTGATTAGAAAAGACTCGCTGTGCATCAAGTCAGCAGTAGCCGATAGAAACGTGGAGAGGAAAGCATGGTCCTCCTTGGAGGAAGACTCATAGCCAGCTAAATTATCTCATTATGTGTGAGGAATTAAATTTGCTTTGACAATTGAATATTTTAAGCAAAAATTTCTAATGCAGAAAGGAAAAAAAATGTTTCACTGCATCTAGTTAACTTGTTATGTCTCACTTTTTTTGCCTTCTATAGCAGTCTTTGTTGTAGGATAAGGAAAGAGGCAGGCAACAATGTGAGTACAGTTGCTAATATTTTTCTTTGCTTTGATTTATCTCTACAAAATCACAAGAAAAGCATTCAGAACAAATGATCAGTTTTCTCTTTTCTTGATGAAAATTAAAGAAAATACTTCTTCAGGGACTTGGTCTGCTGCTCAGTGGCATATATCTCATACCATATATCTCTACAAAATCACAAGAAAAGCATTCAGAACAAATGGTCTAATGATCAGTTTTCTCTTTTCTTGATGAAAATTAAAGAAAATACTTCTTCAGGGACTTGGTCTGCTGCTCAGTGGCATATATCTCAAACCCAGGACATAAGAGGGAACATCCTGTGTTTCAGTTTGTGGCCATTGCCTCTGGTCCTGTTACTGGGCATGACGTAGAAGAGCCAGGCTTCATTTTCTTTGCAACATCCCTTTAGATATTTATAAACATTGATGAGGTCCTTTGTGAGCCTTTTCTCCAGACTGAACAGTCCCAGTTATTTTTTCTTCCACTCTCCATATGCTTCCTCTGAGTTTGTCTAGAAGCTCCTTGTTCATTCACACAAGCATCCTGGCGTTTTTGCCTTCCTTCTTGTTTGTTGAGATGCATCTCTCTGCAGTTTGGAGGATGCTTGAATTTTAACCAACTTTCTTGGGTCCATCTTCTCTCCTTAATCCCATTCTGATCACTGAAGCTAAGACTGCTTTTTGACCTTCACATTCTCAACAAGCCTTTCATTGTAGGTGAGTATGAGGTCCAGTGAAGCACCTCTCCTTGTTGGCTCCTCTGTCAATTGGAGGTAGAAATTATTGTCAGGAATAAATATTCATGCTCTTATCTTTCCTTTTTGTCCACTCAACACTTAGATTTACTAGTGCACTGAATTACGTATTTAAAAAAAAAAAAAAAAAAGAAACCAAACTAACTAGTTTTTAAAAGCACTTGGATGTTGAACTCATAAAATAAATAAAAAATAATGACTACATATATTCAATTTCACATCCCCCTCAGTTTCATTTGTAAGTTGAAATTCAGCAGCAGTAACTGTACACAAGTTAATGGCTTTTTTTGTTGGGTGGGTTCTTTCTTTGTTCCTTGTGGGTTCCTTGGTTGTGTGGTTTGGTTTTGGGTTTTTTTGGATTGTTTGTTTTCACAGGAGGAAGTATTTGGTATATGCCTTTCTGTTGCTTATTTTTCCTGCATTAGTCACACAGTCCTCACTATGTATTGGCTACCTAGTGCATGAACTTGCCACTGAGTGTAGTCTCAGATGCCCAACTTTTTCCCAGAAAGAAGCTTCTCAGAAGGCTGACACAGGGAACCAACTTCACCTCTGAAAGTTGATGCAATTGTGGCTTCTAAAATTATGCCTGTGTACATAGCAGAACAAGATTTAACTAAATCTGTCCTCTCCATGGCAAAGATTTCATGGTTTGTGTTTTTGTTAGCAATAGGATAAAATATTGAAGTTACTTGTTCTCACTTCTATTCATAACAAACAGTCAGTGTTTTTTTATATACAGCATAGGATCAGCTTTTTTATTGCAAGTTAGGATATGCAAAGGCCTTATCGGGTATGACATTAATAATTTAAGTTTTCCGTACTAGAAGTTTTCTGTAAAATTTAAGAAATAGGCTGAATTTCTGATTTTTTTTTTTTTTTTTTTTTTTACTAGAAATGTTGTACTGCAAGTTTGATCATTCTGGTTTACTACTAACAAATTCTGCTGTTACTGTTCTATACAATAGTTCTTGTGAATGCTAAGAACTTTGTTGTGTGTAGATATTACTAGTTCCAAACATCAGAAAAAGCAAAAAATGCTTATATTTTTTCAGTAGTTTTATGAAACTTTTTCACTGTACTTCACAGATTTTAATGGTAGAACAATATATTTATTGAATGACCTGTCTGGCACTGAAATCTGTTAGAGTGATACATACCTATAGCTCCCATATTGAAAAGAAAACTGATTAATTGAATAAAAGTAGGAATAGTTTTCTTGTTTCTGTTTCAAATGTATCAATTTTTGGTAACTTTTATAAAATAAAATTACAGTATTTTGCTGTTAGGAATAAAGTATTTTACAAATAAAACTAGCATATAGCTCCTTGACTACCTATGTGTGTCTTAAATGTTTCTTGCACCATGGATCTACAGTTCAGATACAGTTTCATCTGAGAACATTCTTTTGATCTCCTTTCAAGAACCAGGGCTTTGAGGTGATCTTCTGATTGAGGTGAGATGGTTTCCTAATTTAGGCTGCCTTAACTGACTCACTGAACCAAAGCAAACTCTTTTGGACCTGTCTTGTCAGATACAGCTCTCTGTGAGCTGTCTGCAACAGAGATTTCTACAAAAGGGTAGGGATTGAGTAAAATTTAGAAGAAACTCCTTTAAACCGATGCATCTTTAGTAGTCTAGGCCTTATTCACACAGTGGAATCAGTTTCCGTATTAAACCTCATCGAATGAATAAAACAGGGCTGGAAGGTAATCTGCTTGTTTGAAACACTGAGAATTCACCACCTTTCCTCCAACTTTGAAGTCCTACTAATTCAGTACGAGTCCTTCCTCTGTACAGTACGGCTGGGCCACTTTATTCATGCATGATTGATGTCTCTGGATTTGAGATGGTATTTCCTAGTCCATCTGGTACTTCTGGCATCAGACTTGACAGCCCTCTAATCTAGTCCCGTTCACGTCCAGGATTTGATGCACATTTCTTGATAACATGTAAAGTATTATGCTTTCTTGATGAATCAGTTGTAGCCTTGTGCATGATGGGGCATCTACAGTATTTATGATAAATTAATAATTACATGTATAACTATGATATAGAAAAAGGATATGTTTTTATATATATTACACAAGTAATAAAATACTTCAGTATTAATTTTCATTTTAGGATTGATCCTGGACATTGACAGGGATATGAAAATAAACACCATGGCAAAATTCCATCCTGACCTCCAGTCCTCACTTGCAACTGGTGCAGATTTCAGCAGAGGTTTTGTGTCCATCAGACCCACCGTGCTGGGTCTTGCCCTATTAGTGATCACATCCTGGCTCTATATATCTTCCTTCAAGAACACCACCTTAATGATTCCGTTTTGTCCTGGCTGGGGCTGGCCTAGAGTTCCTGTTGGTCTGGCAGCGGGAGGAGCTGCAGCCCCCTGAGACCCCAGGGGCTCCCCAGGGCCCAGTGCCCTCACCTGTGTGCGGGGGCGGGGGGAGCACAGCTGGAGGGCTGGGCCCCTATTGGCCGATAGTCCATGTCATGTGACATCATGCTCACTATATAAAGGCAGGAGAGGGCCGGGAGGGGCTGCCACTTTTGGGAGTGTGGCTGTGGGGCATTTGTGTTTGGGATCGCCAGCTGGGAGCAGGTGGGTGGTAAGCAGCTGTATTGTACATTACCCGTTGTTACTGCTGTCACTGTATTGTTCTGTTACTGTTATTAAACTGTTTTTATCTCCACCCGCGAGTCTCCCTTTGCCCCTCCGGTTCCCTCCCCATTCCCAAGTGGGGGGAAGGGTGGGTGAGCGACTGTGTGGCATTTAGTTGCTGAGTAGGCTCAAACCACAACACGTTTCCAACGTAGCACTTCCATAGTAGTTGGACAAATTTACAAAGGAGTGCCTTTCCCTTCCTTCTACATGAAGAAGGTGGTTTGGTTGGTTTTTTTTTGTTTGTTGTGTTTTAAAGTTTAGATCCTTGAAGCAGCTATTGGGGGAGTGATAAGCACTCTCTAGCAGATCTTCCTCTGCTCTTGGCAGTGTTGCTTCAAATGATATGCTGCTGGAAACTTTTCTAGCAGTTTCCTGAGTGCTTGCACTCCCACGTTGCTGGAGGAGATAGGTCGCTATGTCAGTGAGTGAAATGAACAGAGCAAATATTCATTGGTCTCCCTGAGCCTGGCAGTCCCTTGAAGGGTTTTCTGTCAGAGCTGGGAAATAAGTTGCTATGAAATACTTCATTTCTTCCTTACCTGTTGTATTCTGGATGACTTTTACGCATTTATGAGATGGATCACTACGTGCTCTTGTATAACAAATGGAGTTGTTCGTCGCACTGAATATCAGGGAGCAGCTTGAGCAGCGCTCCCCCAGTGAGGGAGAGCAAGCCGGAGCCGAGGGCACCCGCAGCCCGGGCAGCACCCTGCCCTTTCCCACAGGGTGCTCTGATGGGGGCCCGGGTGGTGACCACCGGCAGTCCCAGAGCAGGCAGGGTAACAACTCGGGTCCAGGCTCCCAGCAGCAGCAGAGACACTGCAGCAGGAGTGGGGTCATGACTATGACCGGGATGACCTGGTCCCCCTGCCCCCATGCCAGGGGAGGCTGCAGGGACAGGGCTGGGCACAGCCAACCTCCAGTGTAGCCCTGCAGGGCCCAGGTCAGGGCTGTGCTTGCAGGGGTGGCCAAGAGGGATGGGGGCAGGCTGCTCAGGGCAGCTGAGGCCCCTCAGTGCCCCCTGGGGCTCTGATCAAAAATTTCGCAGGGTTCATGGCCATGTACGTAAGTAACCCATCTCACAGACACGTTCATCTTTAATAGCCAGAACTCATCCCTTAGAACCATATCGATACCATTGGTTTCTATTTTCTTCAAGCGTTGTTCAGATCGTTTGATGGAAGTGCTTTTAGGATGATAGTATGTTGTGTAAAAAGGGTTAAATATTTGTGCAGTTCTTTTAACAGATATGGAAATGTGATAATTTTGTAGTTCTCTTGTACGATCATTAATTTATTTCGTTCAGTATATGGTATAATGATATCTGTGCACGAAGTGACATGGGAACTGCTGACTTTAAATGCCATCCAAACTTCAAGCTTTCATAAATATTTCACTTAAAAGTTCAACGTTGATTTTTTTATCCCTCCCCCTGCCCTTAAGTGGTGAGGTGACATGGATTGTACGATATGAAATTCAGTTCTGCACTGGGAACTCTTTTACTCCCGGGTAGCTGAAGGGCTACAGCACCACCTACCGAGGGCCAGAAGTTTTTATGAGAAACCAAAAATCTCTGAAAGAAATAGTAAATGTTCCGACACAATGATGCAGTTCTGAGAATTTTGTTTTGGTGCTCTCACTGAACAACTAAAGTATCAATCTGAGCTGAGCTTTATCCTTTTAAATTAAGACTTTCCATTTAAAAAATGATCTAATTTGAGTTTGGATCTGTTTGTTCAGTGAGATGCTATTTTTTTTTTTAGTTACTTTTATCATCATCTGTAAATCTTTAACACATAGGACAACTGTTCACATACAGTTTGGTATGAGCAATAAAATGTAAGGGTGATGGAACGCCAGGATCAGCATCCTCTTTTCTCACAGCCTTAATAGATCCTTTGGCATTTAATTTGATAGCATGAACTTTCCAGGGGTGGCATCTGCTTTGTAAGCCCCATCAAGGAGAACTGCAGAGCCATCAGCAGGCAGGCAAGTGCATGAGGCTTGGGAAATGCCCACAACCGTGCAAAGGGACCATGGGTTGTCCAGAAGGACATCTTTCTGCTTGTAGTGTCAGGCTTCAGGACGCAGTACAACAATATTGTAGGCCAGAAGACATTTAAATATCACTGGGTGCCTAGTTTGAGATAGGAAAGGCTGCAGTTACATGGCAGAATAACAAACCAGCCCAAATTGAGGGGATTTTCAGATGTGGGAGGTGGCTGTATCCCAAAATACTTGGACAGGTGAAACTTACTGACACAAACTGGTGTTCTAGCTTCAGTAAAACTTCAGAGTGGCGTGGCAGTGAAAGTGTGCTGAGTAGGTGCCAAAACGACTTGAGAAAAGGAAAGGGACCTAACCAGTTGTGAAGTTCTGAGATCTTCTGTTTGAGAGCAGAGGTTGCTAACTGCTAACCAAAAATGAAAAACTATACTACTAATAGGATACTGTGTGTGTCTTTTCTATTGAATGCCCTAAATTGACTAGTTTAGGTATTGTGTAGACTAATACAGAATAAGATGTCCAAAATTTGCAGACTCGTGCCCTTCGATATGCAGAAGGCAGTCCACGCCTCTAGTTCAAGCCAAAGCTGGGGTTGCCGCAAACATGGCTTGTTTGATGTACGCTCTTCTTATGCCAGTTAATGCCTGCTAATGTCACAACTTTTAAACTGCATATACACAAAGCCCGAGTGTCTGTAGGAATCCAGAGCGTTGCCTCCTTCAGGTTGCTCTCTCAGGTTTTGACTTTGAAGGCTGTTTGAGGGTTTGGTGACAGGACCCAGAATAACATCATCTGGAGCAGGCCCCGTGTAGCCAGCCGAGCTTCCGACCTGCCTGGCTGTTTGAAACACCCACTTCTATACAGCGTTATGTTATTTACCTCGCTTGCTCATTTACCCAGTCTGTGTTTTGCCTCACTTGTGTGAACCATGAAAGCTGATGAGAAAGGCAGGCCTGTTTCATTAGGCAACAGGTTGCTTTCTGGGGTCTGCATTTACCACTGGATAATATTTAGGGGTCTGCAAGCAATGGGTCTAGCAAGCTGGATTTTTGAGAGTAGTTTTTGTATCGCATCCTACTTTGGTTCTTAACGCCCAGAGCATCAATCTTCACTCAGATTTGGCAACAAATACTCTGAAAGGAATTGGCTTAGTTTTCTTATCCACAAGATAATTCCTTTCCCTCACCAGCTATACAGGCAGGAAATCTGAGAAGGAAAGGGAAAGCTATTGAAGTTGACACGGGGCAGGGGGAAGAAATAAAAATTGTATTTTAAGTTCTGGACTGTTACATACTACTGTGCTTGTTTTAATGGCTATAGGAAAGGAGTGAACAGAGCAGTCAGGTGCTTGGGACATGAAAATGAAGTACATAGGCACATTTTTTTCCCCAGTTGTCAGAGAAAGGTGCAAACACTGAGAAATTAATAGCAATGCGTCACTGACATGATTGGTTTTGTTTAATACTTTTCACAGACGATTTCTTGACTCCAAACTGATAAAAGTGAGAAAAATACAAAGGGGGAGTTTTTAAAAGAAATCTTAAAAAAAAAAAAAAAAAACAACAAAAAAAACCCCAAACAAACAAACAAAAAAATCACAAAAAACCCAAACAAACAAACAAATGAAAAACCCCAAAACCAGATACCACAAAACAACAAC